CCCAGGGGTACAGCTTATTAGGGCCCCCCATGCAGAGTAGGAAAAAACATCTCCCTGCTGTGCTTGCGCCTTGGAAAGGAGCCAGGACTGTCACTGTGTTCAGACAGCATATGTGGGAGAAGTCCAACAGAAAAGGGCTTGAAACCAACAGGGGCAGCTACCAACACCTAGGCCGTAGTCTGGTGCAGGTGCTGGCAGGTACTGGATGGATTTCTAGATGCTTCAAGAACCGCCTAATTAGTGCCTCAATTGGATTAGAGTGGTTCTGGGTGTGGCTGAACAGATTTACTGGAGACAAGGTCCACCCCGGGTGTGGGTGCCACCAGTCAATAAGCCTTGTAAGCCTGAATGCAGTGAGAGGGGAAGGCAGGCTTGTTACTTCCTCCTCTGCCAATGCCACCCTGACTTGTAGCCAGCCAACTACATGGACTGCAGTCTCTACAAACAGCTACCAGAAACCTTATTTTTCCTTTAACTTGTGGGTGTGTCAGATATTTTGTTCCAGTCCCAAGAAAGTAAAGACACCATCCTTGAATTGTCTGAAAAAAGCCACTGGCTTCTTCTCTTTACTGGAAAAAAGTTTAAGCTGATGTTCTCCCAAGAGGCTGCATTTATATTCAAGAGTGTCTATACCATTTGACCTTCCCTGTGTCACCAAGATTGGGGCTGAGGAGGTTGGTTCCTAGTGCTGAAATATGGACCCTAAGCTCAAGCTTCAAAAAAAAAAAAATCAGTTTTCAGGTTTGCTTTCTCACAAAACATTCAGGGTGTCAAGCAGGGATTTTATGACATTCTCAAGTGCAGTGGGGGTGCTCAGAAATAAGATATTTCCTGGAACAGGGAACATGTCTCTGGTGGAGATGGAAACCCTGGGGGAAAAGGAGCCCACCTCCCAAGAGGGTCCTCACCCACTGTGCAGCATGGGCACAATCTCAAACATTCTTGGTGTTCTGTGCTTATCTTAGGATCAGACACCTGCTCCTAACTAAGTCAATTTATGGGTTTTCAATGTTCCTAAGGAATTCAGGGTGTGATGGGTCTGGTAGCAAGGAGCTTAAATGTAACCAAAGGAATGGTGTCATGGATGTCTTTGGTAGGCTCCTGAAGTTCAATGTTCTTAAACATACAATGTTTAGTTATTTCCTCGTTTCTTTTCTACCCATCTTAACTAACCCAGTTAGAATATTGTGGAGACAATATGGCAGACCAAGAAGTTAAAGTAACATCAGGCTACCTTTAGCCCCTTTTAATAGCAATTTATCAAGCTCTGCACCTGAACAAGCCTGACTATTGGGTAAAACTCAGTGTGTACTAAGCTTGGCAGACAAGAGCTCTACTGAACAGCTAAGAACACGTTAACATCTGGATCCTGTAAGGTATTTGTGCCTTGTTACAAGACAGCATCTGAGTCAGATTTCTTTGCCTCTCTATGGTCCACCTGCTTCATAACCCCGTGTACCTCGTGGCTGTAACATCGCATGTAAGCCTTACATGAACTCGTGTCACCCGTCGTGACTTGTAAGGCACAGGCGCTTACACTTGGCTCAGACTACCTTTGTGTATTTATTCTGTCAACACCTACTTAGGAGCTAAGATTTTCTAAGCATGGTCCCAAAGCCTCAGCCCTCCCACATGCTGGGGATGGCAGCCTGGGCCCACGCTAAGGGCTGCACCCCTCTTACTGACTTTAGGACTCAGACAAGTCATAGCCCGAGGCCCTGATGGAAGTGAAGACTCCTGAAGTTCACTGTGAGCACCAAACATCCCAGCGTGCTGGCAACTTCATAGACAGGAAGAGGACAGGGCCAGCAGGACGCCCATCACTTCCTGCAGGATACCACTTTAGGTGCAGAGGCTCATGCAGCAGTGGGAGAGCACGGGAAGCTGCTGTGCAGGGGACAGTAACAGCCCAGACCCACAGCTGTGCAGAGATTTGACTGAAGCAGCGTAAGACAGGCTTAGGTCCCCAAATCTTTCAAGCAACAGTGGTCAGCTATGGCTGGTTAGTGTGGAGAACCATAGATCCACCCCTCTGCCATTTTATGATAGCCTATGAAGCCATTTTGTATTAGATTTAGTTTTCCTGTAGATCACATATGTTCCCGTGGGTGTTTGATGTATCCTTATAAGGTAATAATCTGTTCTCTGTATGCCGATTGGTTGCATTATGGTATGTATGTTGCCACCCCTTCTGGGCGCAGAGAGCAGGATAGAGATCCGGAGATGAACTAAAGTAAACTCCTTGTGTATCAAGTGTGTGCCTCTTTGCTCTCGTGTCGCCAGTTCAGGCCCCTGTATTCGCAGACCGAGTTGCCCAAGGCAATCCGGCTCGGGACAGTTAGCTCTCAAGAGCACGTTCAGTGATCATCCTTGGACCTAGGTGAGGAACACAGGACCTGTTCCCTGAATCCTGTTCTAACAAGTCTTGGTCTTTTCTAGCATTGAGCTCCAAGTTCATTTACTATAGAGGACCTGATGAGGGACAGAAACTTCTGACAGGGAATGAAAAGCTCCTGTGCACTGGTCACAGGTGTTGAGTATCCCTGACTGCAAGACCCACCTCCCTGACGGGCTGCTGAGTTGCAAACAAGGTATTTACAATACAGAGTCCCTGAGGAGGGATCCATAACAAGCTCGCTCAGAGGTGGGTATGAGAACTCACTCGTTCCCACTGGATGAATTTCCAATCCAGAGATTAACATTTCCGTGTAGGTTTATGTAGAAGGGACTAAGGGACAACGGTAGGGGGCCGAGCTCTCAGCGTCCCCTTCCAGAGGGACAGCCTGAGCCGGCTTCAGAACCACAGGTGAGCTGTGAGCGCCTCATAATTCTGCCCTGCGTGATTCTACACTTCTAGCGCTCCCTGGATCCCACCTGGGCCACATGGAGCACTCCCCGGTCTGTTTCAAAGGCAGACAGGGGAGCCAAAGCCCTCTCAGCTGCTTCTCACTGTGGCACCCACCTTGCTCCCTGTTCCTCTCTCCAGCAGCTGCTACAGGGCCCTTCCCCAGAAGCCCTTTGGGCCTTGACACATGGAGGCCGCCGCGGAGGGCCTTGGAAATTCAGAACTGGCCTTCTCGCCCCTCCCCCACACGCTCAGCTCTTGCTCTCATCACCCAGCAAAGCCCCCAGCCAAGGAAACCTGAAACCCATCTCCCTCTTTCGAGGGGAAGCAGACAGACCTCTTTAGCACACCTGAGCCTGGTGAACCCAATTCAAGGAATTAAATTTGCCAAAAAGCCAGCCTGAAGACTTTCCTGAAAAGCAGCATTTTCTTTCGACATGCCTGGTTAAAAATGTACACTTTTGGAGTCAAACGCAAGCTTGTGGGACGCTCACACGTTGCCCATTCTCACAATGCCAGTCAGCAGCGGCCTTCAAACGGTCTGGAGAGCCCTGGGCTTGTGACAGGAACAAACATGGTCCCCGTGTCTCACGTTCCTGGGAGCGGGGGACCCTGTCCTGCAGTCATAGCGATGAACTGTAACAGGCACATCATAGAGGGGTAGTCAGAAGGGACCGGGCAGCAGAAGTCCCAAGGGAAACGACAGGTGGGACACGCTAGGCAGACAGGTGCCAGGCAGAAACACCCAGAGACTGCGGGTTTGAGGGGCCAGGTGTGGGCACCCCCAGGCTTTAGAGGCCCAGGTGGAGTGGGTTTATTAAGATGACGCGGATGGGAGGTGGTGGTGAGAAATTACTCCTGTGCTGCCACGAGGGACTGAGAAGGTGCGGGAAAATCTGTCAGCAACAGGTTACACGGCCCGGGTGAGGTGCAGCTTGGAGCAGGGCAGTGCTAGCAAGATGGAACCGCGCAAACGTCAGCAAGGCAGGCCTGCGGGGTGATGGATTCGGTGAGGGCCCGAATGGGGATCAGCGCAGGGCTGGGAGAGGCTTCTGGTCTGTGCGGCTGGAGACATAAGGACACTGGTCACACTGTGTGAAGGGTCAGCCCTGCACTGGGGCCAAGGGAGGGTACAGCTGATCTCCGCAGGACTGTGCTTTGGCCTGAGTAGGTTTGAGACCAAGCTGGGGGTCAGGGAATACACGAACAGTCAGGCTAGTTTACAGCGCTTTGAGTCTCTCAAATGACGGGGCTCTCCGACACCCCAGGGTCTACTAGAGTGCTTCTGCGGCTACTAGGGTGACCCAAGGAATAGGTCGGCCAGCCAGTCCCACTGAGAGGGTGCGTCCCTTACCCTGAGAACACGAGATTCCCCGCAGGGCGGGGCTAGAACACGCACCGGGTCGTCCCTCTTCCAAGAGCTACGCGCTGCCGCCAGGCGCAGTGATTGTTACAGGTAACAGCTGCCCACACCCACCCTGTCCCGGGATTCCACACAGAAGCATATCAGGTGAAAATGAGATGAAAGTTCAGCATCCTGCCGTAAGATTAGAAATTTTGGCTGTTTGCTTTGTAGAGTCATTTTCACTGTCAGCTCCGAGAATGCACACACATGGCTCCTAGCATGCAAGAGTTTAGAGTACCTTACAGTTTTCAGTTTTACATAGTTACACAAATGTACTGTTCGGTGCTGTGACCCTTGCTCTAGCAATCTCAACTCAGGGGACAAAAGTTTTTTCAGAGAAGGTAGCTAGCTGCACAAGCCGCTTTAGAGGTGTCTTGTTTGGCTTCAGGAATCTCAGCATTTTCTAAGACCAAACGTCTCTACATCCCTCCAGTTCACCAAACCACGCTCACATCTCTTGGTCAAGGATTGGAGTTGTTCGTGAGGCTCAGGATCTACTCTACAGTCTTAGCAGAAGGAAAGGAGCACAGCCAGAACGCTTGCACACCTGGCTGCCGTTTAAAGTGGCCAGAACAGGTGACACTCATTGAAAAACCAATGCCCAGGCAATGAAGGTTGAGTTACCTGGGCAGATTTCTGCGAAGATAAATTCCATGGGAAAAGGTCAGGGGCCCTAGGGAAGAGGGTTCCTGCCCTCATATCCCCTGGGGAGAAGGTTCCTGCCCTCATGTCCCCCGGGCCTTCCTTCAGGTCCAGGGAATCTGCCTGCAACAGAGCTTCCCAAAACCAGCGAGGTATCACACCTCGGGCCAAACGCGGCATTTCAAACTTCAAGAACTTGCAGCCCAGGAGGCCTTATCCATAGCCTCAACCAGCTGCTCCCAGAACCAAGGTGAGAAGGAGGAAGGGGTGTAGGCCCCAAGGCCAGTAGCAGAAATGTGCAACTATCCAGGTGGGTCCTCAGAAGGCCCCAGGTTGCACGTGCTGCCCTTGAACATAGAAATGCAGAACAAGACTTCCTAGCAGACTTGATTTTGAAAGCAAGACGCCCTCTCCAGAACTCTTCACTTGGGTTTCAGAACTTTGTAACTTCCCACAGGTGTTACTTCTACATTCACTTTCACCCTTACCCCACCCCCGTGCTACTACTAAAGGCAAGGTTCAAAGCACCAACCCTTTCGGCCCCCGCTTTCCCCTCCACGAGCCATTGTCCCCGACTTTGAAAGCACGAGCGCCCCTTTTCGGTTTATGAAAAATCGTTTTTTAAAGCACCCTCTCCCTTTCCTCTTCTTGTTTTTTTAGTTTTTTTCAAAAAGGAAATTTTGAAAGAAAAAGCAAGCAACCTCATGCCCAGCATGGACCATGCCCGAAGTTCCTGCTTCATAAAAATGACTCCCAGTTATGCTTCAGGGAGAAAAAGTACCCCCTGAGTTTGAAAAACCCACCCTGAGGTTAGAAGTTTTCTGCCAGCCTACGACGCTCCTTTAGCAACGCCGGGGCGTACAAACCCTCTCCGGTCCCACCCATACCCACCCCCCATGCCTCCAATAAGCCTTAAAAACGACCCAGCTATATAGCAAAGCCCACCGCTCCCCCGAGCTTCCCGAGGCTGCAAGTGGCCCGCACCTCCTTTTCAAGGGCCCCGGCCTAACGTCATTTCCGGGGAGGGGCGGGGGA